GCACTTGGTTTCTCATTTATTAGCAAGACCAACTCTGCCCTCAGTTTGCTGTTTCTTCCAAATTATTCTTTAATTTCCAAGGCACTGACTAGTTTTGATGGGGAGACTCTCCGCTTGCAAGAGGTAAACAATTTCTCTTCCAGCCTATTCTTCTTGCTTCCCTTTCAGCCAGAGCTGCTCAATTCATGTCACAATTATATTGTTAAAGGTAAAAGCTGCTTACTTTTTCCTCTCCTCTTAACTGGACTGAATGTCCCCAAGGTACAATACAGACCATTCCTTGCAACAAAAGCCAGCTGAATTAGGATGTTTGGTAGTAGTAAGACAGAGTCTGAAATTGTGCCTTGTGTGGTTAGCTTTACACTGAAGGGACACTTGTGAGCCCCAGCTTAAAATACTCACCTAATTTAAAGGGATGACTGGTTTGTTTCTCCTCTTGCTGCATCCTGACCAGTCTCCAAGCTCCCATTGTTAGGCAAGGCAAGGAGCATGTGGTGGTTTTGCAACTGCAAATGTTCCTGGATGAAGCAGATTTTGTAGATCCATTTCAGTCTGGTTTTAGGCCTGATTACAGAGACAGCTTTGGTTGCCTTGGTGGATGGCCTGCATAGAGAACTGGACAGGGGGAATGTGTCCCTGTTGGTTCTTCTGGACATTTCAGCGGCTTTTGATACCATCAACCATGGTATTCTTTTGGGTCACCTTTCTGGGATGGGGCTTGAAGGTACTGTTCTTCAGTGGCTCTGTTCCTTCCTGAAGTGATGTTCTCAGAAGGTGATGCTGGGGGACTCCTGTTCGACTGCCTGGCACCCAACTCAAACCCAACCCAAAATGACACCCAACTCTATCACTCCTTTCCACCTAAATCCAAGGAAGCTGTTCTTATACTAAGCTAGTGCCTGGCAGCTATAATGGACTGGGCGAGGGAAAACAAATTGAAGCTTAGTCCAGATGAGACGGTGGTGCTCTGATCAGCCATAAGACAGATCTGGAAATAGGAAGGTAGCCTGTTATAGATAGGGTCACACTATTGTTAATAATAATTATAACAATAATAATAATAGGGGCAAATGGCCTTCATCCCCCATCTATAAAGGGACTAACACTGTATTTATGTGCATGTAAATCACTAAAAGGATGCCAGCCAAAATGTGTTTTGGCTTGAAATTGGGGAGGGGGGAATTCATGGGGAATTAATGGGGGTCCCAAGGCCACATCTCCAAAATGCATTTGCAGTTAACTTGCAGAGCAAAGCATTCACATTCCTGTTTTAAATTGTTGGCCCTGAGGATAAAAGTGTTTGGGTGCTTTTCTTAAAGCCACAAGGTATCTTAAGCCCAGACCAAGATTATATTTTGCACAAGCAAAATGCCTTGGGAGACCATTATTGCTGTAACAGGCTGAAAGGCAACATTTTAGAGTGTATTGGTACTTGGAATACAACCTGACAACAGCACACAAGTATTTTGCAACCATTTGATGAGCTTGATCATGGTTCAGCATGTCAATTGAAATTATTCTGTTGGTCTGATTTCAGACTCACAGCAATAGCACAAGGGTCAGAATGATCCCCATGTATTCAGTTATTTCAGCTGTATGCATTTGATTCTACTATCATTTAAATGGGGAACAGGGGTAGTTAGGCTGTTCATTGGAATCTCCTGGTTGGTCTCTGAAAAATTCGTACAAATTAGCAAGGATTTCTGATTCTAAACTTGAACCCATAATTAAAGTACTGAAATGAAGAGGGCTTAATGAGGAATGGACTTTTGTGTGACTGGGAACAGTGAGCTTGGTTATTTTCTTGTGTTGACAGTAAATCCCTACGCTCAGAGAACGTTACATTTCCTTATTCTAAGCATATTAAGATCTGTACCCTAGATGGAGTATTTTGGGGGTTCTAGTTAAAACAATATAAATGTGGCAGATCTAAAATCTACCTACAAGTTTGAATCAGCATACTGAGGATGGGAAACTCAACCACCTCTCCTGGTGGCCATCAGCTAGAGCAGTGGTTCTCAACCAGGTGTTTTGGCCTGCAACTCCCAAAAATCCCAGACAGTTTACCAGCTGTTAGGATTTGTGGGAGTTGGGGGCCAAAACATCTGGGAACCCACAGGTTGAGAACCACAGACCTAGAGATAATTTTAAATTAGGACAAATGTACCTATAGATATTTTAGCTATTAAATATCAGTCTATGCTACTACTTTCAATATTTTGAAAACCATCTGGCTCAGTAAGCCTAGTGGTTTCCCTACAAATCTAGTCTACAACTGTTTTACAGTTATCCCAGATTGTTCCCTGCTACATGTCTTTCTGGGAGTTTTTTTTTCCTGGCTATCCCTCAAACTTTTTAAAAAAGTTTATAGGGTTGTAGGGAAAAAGCATGGCACACAACGTGAAGTTCAACATTCTCAGTTCTGGTCCTGGGAATGATGTTAGAAATTTAATGTGTTTGGAAGAATGGCTTTATCTTAAAGTGCGTACTGGCAAGCACCAGAATCAAAGTGCTTTATTACACTCAGCAAATGAGTCCAAAATGGAATCTGTGTTCCTACTTCCAGGAAATTAATGATCTGGCAGGCACTGGGTAGGCAAACGTGACTGTCAATAGCACATATGCAACCTCTTAATCATCTATCATCTTTCAGGATTGAACATGGATAATTTACAAAGGTTGTCACTGCATACTAAAAGTAAGAAGGCAAGGAAGCCAAGCTCAACCCTCTAAAGTGAGCAATGCCAGCTTAGCAAGGCCCTCATCTTCTGTAGTTTGTCTGAACTTGCCTTTTTGAGGAAAACCACCCCCCATCCCCCAAAAAGAAGGAAAGGCATTATCTGATAAAACTATTTCATCTTTGCCACGGTTTTCAATATGCACTATATCAAAGTGCATAGTGTATTTTTCTGTTCACTTTATTGCATATTACCTCAAACCTATCATGTATTTTATTAGTTCTCTATACTTCATATTTATCCCATTATGCTTTATTAAGTCCAAGGTAATCTTAAATCTGCAATGCAGTTTTCATTTTATCCATCGCAATATATCATTTCCTCTCTTTTGATCAGTTACTTAGAAGCTTTTTCTGTATGCTTCAGTAAGCCTATTATGGCATAAAAGCATTTGCCAGGGAACACTTATCAGCATTCCTATAACAAACTGTATAGTTTTAGGTAACTATGAATTGTCTGTACATAGCTCTAAATAGGTCCTTCAGACATTTTGTGAGCACATTATCTTAAAATCTAGCCAATGTTACTTACAAAAAAGAATCAGGCTGTCAAAACCTGTGTGACTAATGAAATCAAGAGCAAGATGCTGGAACATATTTTTTTAAGTGTATTGTTAGTAGGAAGAGTGAGTATGGTGTAGTGGTTTAAGTGTTAGAGTGCAACTCAGCAGATTTAGACTTGAATTCTCTGGAAGCCTACTGGGCCATCTGGTATGATTGGTGACCTTGAGCAACTCATACTCACTCAGTCTCAGAAGCAAATCTCCTCTGAACAAATCTTACCAAGAAAAACCTGTGATAATTTGATTTAGTGTTGCCATAAGACAGAAATTACTTGAAAGCAAGCAACAAGTTGATTTTTTTGCTTATGGTGCATCACCATGACTTTGCTTCAAGATGCATCTAATTTAGAGAAGGTAGTTTCAGGTGTGTGCATGTGTGTGGATGATATAGATAGCCTTGGCCTTTGAATCCAAAATGTAAGATAATACAGGGATAACAAGCAACAATTTATGACTATTTTGGCAGATCTGGACTTGGATGCATGAAGCAAGAATACTGTACCTTTTCAGGCTTTGTGTAGATACAAGGAAGCACATGTAATAATGAACTTTATTGGCTCAAGAATAGCACCATAGAGTTGCACTGACCTATAAAAGCAATAAAAAAGGACAGATTTTATGTCTGAAACCACAGACATAAATTCTGCAGATATGGGGATTGTACTGTGGTTAGATTGCAATTACACCTAAAGTGCCAAGTTGGCTTCTTGCATGGTTACTAAATGTGCTCAACAAACATTTCTTTAAATGATTTCACACGTGACTTCTCCATGTTCAGGAATTAAGCTTCTCTATAATGTGAATACCTGTGAGGATTTAACTCAAATTGTGTTGTTGAAGAAAATAATTCTCATTGTGACACTGACTCACACTGACGAAGTCCAATCATATTAGCATATTAATATTATTTCTGTGTTTGTTTATATTTCACATTTCTGGCTTCCAAGTGTGCATGTAACCTAAGGGACAACATGCTTACTGTTGGAAAATAGCATTCCATACATACCTCCTCTATGAGATTTCACTGAGGTCCCTTCTACACTGACATAAAATCCAGATCATCCATCAGATAATCCACATTTTCTGCTTTGAACTGGTTTATATGAGTCTACACTGCAATATAATCCAGTTCAAAGCAAATAATCTGGAGTGTATATATGAAGGCTTAGGCCCCTTCTACACAGTCCTTATATCCTAGGAACTAATCCCATGTTGTCTGCATTGAAACAGATTATACTGCAGTGTAGAGTCATATAATCCAGTGTAGACTCATATAATCCAGTTCAAAGCAGATAATGTGGATTATCACCACTGCCATATAATCTGGGATAAGCAGATAATCTGGGATCAGATCCTGGGATATAAGGACAGTGTAGAAGGGGTCTGAGACTTCTACATGAAATGCATGGCCTTCAGCAAGAACAAGGACTAAATGACATGGATGATCCTTCCTTTGAGAACAAAATATAATTTGGTGTCATATAATTTGGTATCATTTGGTATCATATAATTTGGTATCATATTTAAGAGTCCAGGATTTTATTCAGAAAGTAAGCTTTTTAGTACTGAAATAAATAGAAAACAAAGAAATTTAAAGAGGTTCCAAAGTTTGTTCTCATTCAGTGACTGCCTTAAAACAAATTCAAGATTTTAATGAAAATGCTGTGAAGTGTTTCAGTTTTCCTTATTTCTTTTTCCAGATTATTACCATGAAGGAATATGTCCCCAAAATCATTGGCCCAGAAGCTTTCAATCAATACATTGGTCCTTATAAAGGCTATGATTCCAATATTGATCCTACAGTTTCCAATGTATTTTCAACAGCAGCTTTTCGCTTTGCTCATGCTGCAATTCATCCAACAATAAAGCGGCTTAATGCACATTACCAGCATGACCCAAGTCTGCCTAATCTTAATTTGCATGAAGTTTTTTTCACACCCTGGAGGCTCATTAATGAAGGTACTCTCTTTAATACGATTATATTTTCATGAATTATTGTAAAGCTGTTAGTAGCTGAAGTTTTGCAAAAACTAGGCATATTTTGTTTTAATTCCATTGTTGTTCTGACTGCTGTGTCCCATTTTGTTTTAAAGTAATGTAAGAAGCAAAATAAAAATTATCCACACTTTTAGGGTTTTATCACACCAACACATTATTCCGCCGCAGTCAAGCTAACATAGATAGTTAATATGTACTGCGCTGAACGCCTTCAAAATTGCACTTTACTTCAATAATGCAGTTATGGTAACTCACCATTCTATGGTCTTCCAGTCATATTTCCACACACCTTCATAACCAGTCCTTACTGCACTATTGTAATTCCCTATACTTTTAATTATTAGTTTTATTTTAGCTCAATTATACAATTTCGGTATTAAAGGGGGGGGGGGATATATAGGTTAAAGTTTACATGCTTCCTCCATGACTCGTGCTTTTAGGGGGGGTGTCTAGACACAAATTAACCCCCCCCCCCAAAAAAAGGGGGGCAAAAAAAGTAAAAAATACCCGGTTGCCATGAAAGTGCTGCCAGCCCTCTCCTGGCATGTAGAAATGAGGTGCCAGGAGAAGGGGGGTAAGGAGCAATATTCCTCCTCCTCCTTCTTCTGGCACTTTATTTCTACATGCCAGGAGAGGGCTGGCAGCACTTTAATGGTGGCTTTTTGCCTGGGAAGGGGGGTTGGGAGGAGATGGAGGCTATCTTGAGCCTGGAAAACCTGAGGCAGTTCTTTGGATTGGGTTTGGAAGTCGCACGACGCAATCCCTGGCCCAATCCACACAGGACCCACACCAGGAAATACCCGGGTCTTTACAGGTGTCAAATTAATTTGGGATGAAGCAGGGTTTTCTTACATTATCTCAAATTAATTTGCTTTTACCTGAGACATCAGTTGGACACCTCAGGTAAATGTGCAGGCGGTCATGCATTTTTCAAATTGTGTGGATGCTGCTAGGAGTTTGGGGTCCAATGATATCTTCAAGCCCACATGGTTCCCAACTCTGCTATAATGTTTTAAACTGCAATTCTATACTGACTTACCTGAGAAGAAAAGTCAATGCAAAGTTTTAAGTGTATATTTAGAGATAAGTTTGGATTGATGACAAATTATTGGCCCTACCAAAGCTTGCACTGACCTTATCATTCTATTCTAAGGTGGTCTGGACCCCATTCTAAGAGGAACTCTGGCAACTGCTGCAAAACTGCCACTGCAAGATCAACTGGTGAATGAGGAATTAACAAAGAAGCTCTTTGTGTTGTCCAATAATGGTTCATTGGATTTGGCATCATTAGATTTACAACGGGGACGTGATCATGGGCTGCCAGGTCAATAGCTTTTTTAAGAAAAGAAATCTATGCTCTGTGTGCTCCACAGAGCTTTGGGGCTCTGCAAGTGATAGTGAGGGGCTCCATGGCACCATGCTGCTTTCCACCTCCTCCTCCTTCCTCTTGGCACTGTGTCCAAAAGTTTGCCCATGTCTGATATACATACATTATATATAATATATGATATAATTTATAAATATTTGTCGGGGCTCCATGAGAAACTTGCTTTAAAAAGGGCTCTGCAACTGAAAAGTTTGAGAACCCCTGCTATAGACTAAGTGATTGCATTATGATGAAACATGTTGTATATTTTCTCTTTGATGTCATGCAAGATTTTGCCATCAATTTTAAAAGGGTTACCAAATCAAAGTTCATCTAGGCTTGGGTTCAGGTCTTTAGATGTTAATATGTGTTGGCAGAGTAAAAAAAAGTTATTACAGAAACCTGTTTTAATACTACTATGATTGCATTTTTTCTAGGTTTCAATGACTGGCGAAACTTTTGTGATTTGCCAATGCTAAAGACAGAAAGTGATCTGACAGAAGCAATACAAAACAAAAAGGTTGTCCAAAATATTCTGGAACTGTATGGCAGCCCTGATAACATTGATGTCTGGCTTGGGGGTATATTGGAAAACTTTCTTCCAGATGCCAGAACAGGTCCGTTATTTGCATGTATAATTGGAAAACAAATGAAAGCACTGAGAGATGGTGATCGGTAAGTTTTCTTAGTGTGTTTTATAATACTTCTTTTGACCCTTCCCTCCCAATCTCAAAACTGTACATATGTACAGATTTTAATTTGAATTGTTTTAAATGCGTTGTCAGCTGCCTTGAGTCTCATTATTGGGAAAAAGGGAAAAATAAATAAATACAGCAACAATATGAGGCAGAGTGCAATGGTATTGTGTGGCTTGCATATCATTATATCGTAGAACTCCTAACTAGATTTTTCTAAAATGAAAAAAATGAAATGTTACAAAAATTTACAAGGATCTGTGCAGCAAAATAGCAATTATTCCTCCCAGGTTTCCCTTTTTCACTGCCTGTCCACTTTGCCTGCCTTGTAGGGGCAGTCCAAGACATAGCTCTACTTGAGACAAAGTATAAAATCATGAATGTCACTGTTATATGTACAGAAGTTTGCTGAACAAGCAGTTGAATGCAGGCAATTGGACACATTCTTCTGCTAAAACCTGAAAACAGCAGGCTAGTTCAGGAAATTTGGGACTGATAGTGTAGCACACACAGTTCAATCCACCAAGGGAGAGAACAGGCTAGAAAATTTGTGGGGGAAATTGTGGATTTGGCACTGCTGCCTTCCAGCTTCTGTTGCCTAATGTCATTATTGCCTCAATCTAATGGCCAGGCCAAGCCTCCTTTATTAGCTAAGTGGTGAAGTTCATTTGGGAGTTATGGGGAGGTAAATGGACGCACAGTGCATTTTCAACAATGTGAAAGAGTGTGAGAGAGGGAGGCAGAGAAAACAACTTGGCACTTTGGCATACGTATGTGAGGTTCATTCTCCATTTGGTTTCCATACATAGTGAAATAGTGTCCATATGTGAGAAGTTATTTCTTGGCACAGTCTTGTTTGATAACATGTCTACAAACTATCAGGCCAAAAAGCAAGACAGAGAACTTAAGGGTCTTCAAAACATCAAATTGTCTATTGGGCTTCAATAGCTAGCTTATAATTTATTTGATCAATGAATCAATTAGTCTTGCTTTGCTTCCTGTACAGATTTTGGTGGGAAAATGATGATGTCTTTACTGAAGCTCAAAGATGTGAACTCAGAAAATATTCTTTATCCAGACTAATCTGTGATAACACAGGCATTACTGAAATACCTCATGATGTCTTCAAGCCTGGAAAATATCCTAAAGATTTTGAGCCTTGTGAAAATATACCCAGTATTAATTTAGAAGCCTGGCAGGAAACCCCACAAGCAGGTAATTCAAGACATATTCACTCAGAAGAAAGCCCCACTGAGCTCAGTGGAGATTACTCTCGGGTAAATAAGAACAGGGTTATAATCTCCATGGCTTCCCTTCCATGATCAATACTGGAAATGAGGAACAAGCTGAAAGCTTCAGAGGGAAGTGATCTTGACTTCTTCGTGACACAATGTCAGGCACAAGCAATATTTGTTTCCAGCACCATATGAAAGGAGCTGGAAGGCAAAGAAGGAGCATTTCCAAAAGCTAGCATTTCCCATAAATCTCATGTTAACTGTCTGAGGTGTCCTCAGATACCTAACCAAATTCCATTTTGTCTCATGAAATGTGTTTATCTTAGATTTGCCATCAAATTTCAAATTAACTCTAATTTATTGTAATAGTACGATAACGTCATTTTTATGGTAATAAAACACAAATATATTTGCATACATTTCCTAAAATAGAGGTATTTATATTTATGTTAGTCCATCTCCTCTCATCCAGTTTGGGATTTCTTTTTGATGCATTCAAAAAAAAAACTTATAGGTGAGCAAGTGCCCCTAAACCTATAGCAGATCAGAAAAGGCATTTTAGATGTCCAATATCAGTACATCAAAACTTGAAGTAGAAGTGAGTGAGAATGCAATGGCATACATATCTAATCCAAAGAAAGTCTGTAAATTCGGTGTGACATCTTCCAACAACATGCGGCTTGTTTCAGTGGGCATAAGTTTATATTTGAGTCTGGACATTGTTCTGCATGATTTTTCAGCCATGTTTTAAACATTAATTAAACAAGTTTTTTAGTTCCCTAAAGTTATACATGTAGGTTCTCCAAAGGTATTTTAACCAATTTTCTTTGTTACTTTGCTTATTTCTAGAGCTGCCTTGTGGTTTCCCAAAAGGCATAGAAGATGGTGGCTTTGTTTATTGCTCCAAAGCAGAAAAATCCATAGTTACCTATTCATGCGACCAAGGATACATGCTACTAGGAGAAGAACAATTGTTTTGTACCAAAGAAACATGGAATTCAAAACCACCCATTTGCCAAGGTGCTTCTATTTTTCACTTATCTCATTAGTTTTTAGCAAGAATACCAGCAAAACATTATAAGAAGATGGGTGCAATCCATATGAGGCTTTCTCCCTCTCCCTCTCCCCCTCCCTCCCTCAACCATTTCCTTTTTAAAAACTATACTTTGACTCCACATGGAGTATCAGAGATAGGCAACTATCCATGGTTTTGTGCAGTATAGCAAATTCTGGAGAGCCACACAAAGCAGCAGAGAGCACTAAATTCACCACTGCCTGGAATTTACCATATGAGATGGCCAGTGCTCCATTGCATATTGGAATATTTCAACATCATACCTATTAGAGGCTAGGGTGAAAATTGCTGGAAGAAACATTAACAAGCTTAGATATACAGATGACAGCACTTTGATGGCCAAAAGTGAGGAGGAGCTGAGGAGCCTTCTAATCAAGGTGAAAGAAAAAAGTGCAAAAGCTGGGTTGCAGCTAAACATAAAAAAAAACCAAGATTATGGCAACAAGAATGATTGATAACTGGGAAATAGAGGGAGAAAACATGGAGGCAGTGACAGACTTTGTATTTTTAGGAGCAAAAATTACTGCAGACACAGACTGCAGCCAGGAAATCAGGAGACACTTACTTCTTGGGAGGAGAGCAATGTCCAATCTCGATAAAATAGTGAAGAGTAGAGACATCACACTGACAACAAAGATCCGCATAGTTAAAGCAATGGTATTCCCCATAGTCACCTACTGATGTGAGAGCTGGACCATAGGGAAGGGTGAGCGAAGGAAGATAGATGCTTTTGAACTGTGGTGTTGGAGGAAGGTTCTGAGAGTGCACTGGACACCGAGAAGATCCAACCAGTCCATACTTCAGGAAATAAAGCCTGACTGCTCATTGGAGGGAAGGATAGTAGAGGCAAAGATGAAGTACTTTGCCCACATCATGAGAAGAAAGGAAAGCTTAGATAAGACAATTATGCTGGAGAAAATGGAAGGAAAAAGGAAGAGGGGTCAACCAAGGGCAAGATGGATGGATGGCATCCTTGAAATGACTGGATTGACCTTGTAGGAGCTGGGGGTGGTGACAGCCGACAGGGAGCTCTGGCATGGGCTGGTCCATGAGGTCACGAAGAGTCAGAAACGACTGAATGAATGAACAACAACAACACCTATTAGAGGGCAGAATTCACAGTTGGCCGTTGTTATCTAAAAGTTCTGTACCAATGGATTCATCATCCAATCACAGCTTGAAAATATTTGAAAAAAAATGCAAAACAAACATTGATTTGACTCACAGGAAACAGTATGATGATATGCAGAAATACCCTACTGTAGCCTCCAGTCATTTCACAGATCCTCAGGCTCTCTCCAGCACTCATTTATGTTGTTCAAGGGATGCCATTTCACTATACCACTGTATATAATGGGACTGGAACATCCACTGATTTATTATTTTCATGGTCCTGGAGCCAAACCCCAGAAGATACTGGGGGCCCCACTGTATCTGTATATTTTTCTCTATCATGAAAATGCACAAGGTCCTTCACTGTGAATGCTACCATATAAAATGTTCTTTTTTAGCTACTTATCCTTATAGTTCTTGGTTATAGAGTATTAGGATTTATTCATCCTAAGAATTAAGCTAATTGAGGCCAAAGGTAAAGCAAATTGCAGATAGCTTTGAAATGTCTATGCGCGCCACTAAATTTCTGGAATAGCTTTGAGATCTCACATAAAATTATCATTTCTATGGCTTGAATTCCTTTATCCTTTGTGATTTCATAGTAGTCTCGTTTGGCAGATTTAATTCTTTTAAAAAAATAATGATCATAATCATCAACAATTACTCTGCTCCGTTTATCTATGAGCTATGTAAGAGAAAGTTCTATGAATGCAACTGAAATATACCTCTTCAAAGAAAAAATTAAAAACCAGCTTAGATGCAAAGTTATGTCAAGTTTTCTTATGGTGCGTTAACTGGAACCCTTTTTTCTCTCAATCTTCAAACTACCAGTAGTTGGGAAAGAATAGGATGCTTAGCCAAGCTTTCCTCCGCCTGTTCTCGAAGGAACCTCACTTTGACCAATCTGTGGAGATGGTTCAGAGCTGAGCAACCAGATGAGAGGTGGGCAAAACCATCCTTAGGATCCAAAAAGACACTTGAAGTTCACACACATACAACATAAATTGAAATTTGGAGGGTGGGGTTGATTTGTTTTTGCCCTCCCCCAATCGACCAGAATCTTCTAAACTACCTAAAAATGCAGCAATAGCACCCTAAGTCCCACAGTCATCCCTAAACATACATTTGAGTCACCTGAGGGCTGAGAAAAGTGGTATATAAATAAAGTAAATAAATACATTGAACAAGGAGAAAATAATCCAAAATGGCATATGGAAATATTATTGGGTCAAAGCCAGTAGGATTAATATTTGAGTAGTGAGTGGTGTTGGATAGAGCTCCTAAACAGAGGGTGTGCCTTGTGTTATTTGCCACATCACATCTCTTTGTGACATTGCAAACCACAGAAAAGATAGGTTGGAGATAAAGTATCTGAATGCAGTGGCAAAGCCATTGGATATTATATACCAGTTGTTGTTACATTACTGCTTATTGGTGGCAGAACAATTAGCTGTGTCAATTGACTTGTTGTCTTAGTGATCCTTCATTCACCTTTGATAAGGAGGGAGGCACAGTGTCCAAGTAGGTTCAGCCACTGTGCTCATGTAGCCTGAATTGAGATCACCAGTTCAAGTCATTGGAAATATGGGAAAGTAAAAGAGCATTGATGTTAACAGTGGCATGCTGTTGTTAAATCAGAAATTAATTTGTTCATGTTAATCATTTTAGTGAAAAATTATTACATTGTTATTAGCTTAAAGTTCAGAAAACCAATTGAAATCACTAAAAATGCCAAACCCCTCATTACTCTCAATAGTAATGGAGTAATGTGAACCATTAATCCTCCTTTAACCCATAAATATAATCACTAATGATTAAAGTAACAACGTTTTAATCATTGTTTTAAAAATTAACCAAGTACAAATAGAAAATTATTTTTAATGAACTAATTTCAAGCTTTGGCACATACTGTCTAGGGTAGAACATTTGCTTTCTTTGGCCTGACCACTTTAAGGTGGAAACCAGAAAGAGAGGCATGAATCGATCTAACCTCATTCTTCATATTCACATATCATCAGGACAGAATTTATTGAATCCAGGTTCCAAATGAAAGTGAAAATTGTGTGAATTCATTCCAATGCACTGCATCACTTCACACTCCTCTTACACTGCATTTTTATAAGTGATGGTACACGGTACACAGCGTCCCCCAGCTTCCGCATGCACATGCATATTCAACCCTGATGAATATACCAAGAGAAGAAATTTAACAAGCCCATATTCAAGATGTTTTAACAAGCGATGGTTTCATTTGCATGCATGAGCTACCAGTGATGAACCCTGTTTTATCAACATTTCTTGGAAAAGAAAATGATTGAAATAATGGTATGATTGAAATGGGCCTTGCAGCCTTCTCTTTTAGTCACATCCTATGTGGCCTCCAGAATGTGATCCACCTAAGTGCCTCATAACAGAATAAAGCTGTTAAATGAATGTTAATAACATCCCACCCCTTCCAAGCAGATTAATGCTCTGGAAACAAGATGAATGAATAAATTGCGTGAATCATTCTCACCAATTCTGTTACTATTCTAAAGAATGCAAATAAGCTGCAATCTGTCTGCTCTATGGAAATAAAAACTATAATGAGACATGTACGAACTGAAACCAGAAAAATGCTACCGCACACTGCTTATGTAGCTGTTTGTCCAGTTTTTACAGTATCAAACCTTTTCCTGGCTTTTCGAAGGCTTTCATGGCCAGAATCACTGGGTTGTTGTAGGTTTTTCGGGCTGCGTAGCCACGTTCTAGAAGCATTCTCTCCTGAAGTTTTGCCTGCATCTATGGCAGGCATCATCAGAGGTTGTGAGGTCCTCAGATCTCACAACCTTTGAGGATGCCTGCCATAGATGCAGGCAAAACATCAGGAGAGAATGCTTCTAGAAAATAGCCACGCAGCCCGAAAAACCTACAACAGCCCACTTTTCTTGGCTTCATGCATATGCAATGCATTCCCATTGTAGCACATAGCAGAAGAGATGAATAGAACAATCAAATTCAATTGAGCACATGTGAGATAATCTCTATATGTTTTATGCTAGGATGTACAATATGACCACCAGTGCAGCCCCTTATTAAACCTGCACCCCCAGCACTACTTCTCACATGTTTTTGTGATATTTTTAGACTTTGAAGCTCTCACGTCCTCTAATATCATACAGGAACAATATCAACATGGCTGGATGTCTTTTCTTAGATCCAGGAAGAGTTTCTTTCTAAAATAACCTCTGATCACTTCTACTTGAAGGGGAGGTAAAACATGCAATGAAAGTCCCCAAGGGGACTTCATAAGTGAAAAGTACAAAACAGGATGGTTGTAGGATATGCGAGAAAGGGAAAGGGAGATATCATTATAACAAAGAGAAGCCAACGGAGGATGCAGTGTTCAGTACTGAGCTTTGTAGCCTTTTTGTGCCCCTGAATCTGGTTCTTAGACTGCACTCTTATTTTATAATTGTATTGCCTTTGTGTTTGTCTCCAGATATTAATGAATGTGAAAACAAAGATAATTCACCATGTCATTCCTCTGCTAAATGTGTAAACCTTAAGGGAACTTTCCAGTGTCTTTGTACAGATCCCTATGAACTAGTAGAAGATAGGAAAAGTTGTACAGGTAAGATGACAAAAATGTTCAACCAGTGGGGTGGGGGTTGAAACTGTTGAATGGCAGCTCCCTACATTCCTCACCATTGGCTTTGCTGACTAGTATTGAATGGGAGTTCCAGTCCAATAACACAGGGCCGCATATTCTGATTCCTGCTTTAAATCATACAACTACATGGAATATTAGAGCTGAATCTGTGATTCACACATGCTTTATTCATGGATATGCATGTGAACCTCATTATGTTTCAGTATTGTCACAGTAGCCTCTTCAGAACATATAATGCTTACCATATTTTATATGAGTAGGTGTCAGGGCTGTAGTGCTGCCTGCCTTTAGAGCAAATTGTGGTGGTGATGGAAGCTTTAAGGGGAAAACTGACAATTTAGTCTTTTCTTGCCAAAACGGTATGAAATTTGCAAGGTAATTGACTCTCCAGTGGGGCTCATATCTGACACATTTCAAAAGAATAGTTGCAAGGAATTTTGCAAAAAAAAAAGAGCAGCTTTTGCAGTTTCAGGGAGTTCAAAACTATGCACGCAGACCCCCTTCTCTTCTTTGTAGGAAATTGTTGTGGAAAATGACCAAAGAGAGGTGGCCCTGCTTAGGAAACTATGAGGATGGGTAGAAAGATAGAGACAGAAGTACAATCTGAAGGAAGGAAATGATTTGCTTCCTAACTCCATCCAGTTTCCAGAACAATTGGATATTTAATAAGGCTGTCCTTAGGCCAGAAACCAGCAAAATGTCAGAAGGATAAGTGCAAAGGCTAGGGAGTTCTAATAAATGAAATATCTTACAGGTTTTTTGTTTTCTGCTCAGTCAACACCAAAGCTACAGAAAGTGCCATAGGACAGGATGGGTGATGGATGTGGAGACTAGAATGCCGGAGGCAGAAGGACTTGAACACTCTGCTGCATTTTCCAAGCAAACATCTGGGGCTATAGACTCTTGAGTTTCTATAGACTCTATTAAATGTTTGTGACATTCCTAGTCTTCAGAGAGAGATCCAGAAAAATGGATTAAACTATATATTATTTCACATCTCTCCCATAAAGTATCAAGATTGGAAAACCATGGCAAAACAAGTCACCGTGATGAAAAACAAGAACTGCCCAAATACGCTCCAGAGTTTCTTTCTTCTCCTCTCTTCAATCATGTTTTCTTTATATAAGTGCTTGTGGGGGAATGCATCAATCATAGAGATAGAGTGTTTGTGTCACTCTAATCCAGATCCCTAAGAATCTTTCAGTACTTAGCAATATGCAGATTCCAGTTTGACTCACCCTAGATAAATTTTGTTTCCATGTTCACATCTCTGGTATGTACAAACATCCCATTTACAAACAACTCATAGTTAAGAACAAGAGTGAGACATCAGGAAGAGAGAGAAATGAACAAACTTTTAAAAAATATTATGGCACGCATATCCTGGTCTCAGGACTGAGACTTATATTACTATAAAAGTTCAATATAAACCTTAGGGGCAAGTTCTAAATTGCTAATAATTCTGAATGGTTGGCTAGACCACACAATCTTCCTCGGGGCTCATTCATATTCCTTTATATGTCATGTATCCCTTTGTGCTCGATTAAATGCCTCAACCACACTATATTCAATCAGTCAGCAACTATTTAGTGCTGTTTACTCAAAAAGCCACAATTTTAGAGCTACACAGAATTGAAAAATGTGTTATCTTTGTTATTAAGTGCAAACATGATCCATGTCTATTTCGTTATGATTAATAGTGAAAAAATCTAGATTGTATTTATAGCAAAATAGCCTGATGACTGTTCTTTCCTGAAGGAAATCACCTCTCATGGAGTGGATATGGTATACGGTCAAAACCCTGAGGCCTTTCCCAGCTCTATGAACAGAATGAATTTTTTTTATACTGTGAGGCTTATTCTATGTACAAAAAGGGGTGGCACACAAAATGGAGGGTTTTGTGCACAAAACATGTTTGCTGCACAGAAAGCAATATTTATGTGCAAAAAGTGTCATTTTCTTCACAAAACAGTTTCCAAACTGCAAATAGCTCTCAGAACTGCCCATTTTTCAAAGATTCTCTCAAAGTGGAGCAAAAATGTGAAAATATTTGTTCTTGCCAATGCCAACAGTAACAAATCTGACTTTGAATACTGTAGTATCCTATGTTCCTTCAATAGAAGGTAGCTACCAAAAACAAGAGGAGACCAGTAAAGCTACCAGGTTAGTAGCTGCTCTACAGTATAAATGCAATTTACCAGCTATATAGTTTCAAAATTCTGGCTTTACATTTCTGAAAAATAATGACATCATAATAATAATTTTATTTCTAACCCACCCGCTCTACCCAAGTTGACTCAGGCAGCTTCCAAAACAAGGAGGACATTCAATGCCCCATGCAATATAAAATAACATCTTAAATTAACATTTAAAAACAGATAAAAACAATCATTGACAAGCAAATGGACTATGGCATCTGGAATGCATTGAGCAGTTAAGTTATGTTTTAAAAAGCATGAAATCTAAGAATCTAAAATGACAAGTGGCGCTACAATACAAAAGCTTGGTGAGCTGCACGTTAGTTGGAATCTTGTTTGAGACATTCATATGCATAACCTGTGGCTATGCCCCCTTTTGGGCCATGGAGAGATAAGTATTCAATACCTCCTTCTGCAACATCCCTGGCAGCTTCCAAAAATGCTGCTACACCATTTACTAACCAGGGATAGAGCAGGGAGTACTGAACCCACCTTTTCAGTATCCAGTATTAGAGATCTGGAAGGGCGACTATTCCAACTGCATAATAGCTGGATGCTGCATCTCTCCCTCCTCATCAGAGACAGTAAATAGCCAAATCTGGAGAATACTACCACCGGACTCCAGACACTTGGGAGCTGCCTTCCTATGGCATGAACTCTGCAGAAAGAATGTCACACTTCACCTACACAATGTGGGAAATCAACCTTTGCCTCCAAGTAAAATTATAGCAGAGGAGATTTGGATGAAATATCTAAAGAAAATTTTGAGCTAGTTGTAATTTGCTTACTATTCTAAAAACAGCATTCAGAATGTAAATATTACTGGTTTATTTGAGCAGTTTATCATGTGTTACATCATTCAAGCAACTTCAGTCTTCCAACCAAAGTGCTCACAAAATCTATAATAGTTCTAGTAAAATTTCATGCTGTAGCCTTATATAACCTTCCTTCCCTTTTATGCATAAGGTTTACCAAGATGACTTAAATTATTATTTATTACAATTCCATCTCGATCTTTCTCCAAGGAACATGGAGCCACTTACATGGTATCCATCAATACTACCTTCCTTAAATAAACCATGATGAGATGGTAAATTCTCGAAGACAGGAATGGGCAATTGTGGCTTTCCAGGTCTTTTTCTTACTAGGATTATCCCATATCATCATATATGCTGGCTATGGCTGATAAAGGCCAAAAACATCTGGAGTACTACAGTTACCACACTTGGTCTAAAGAAAGGACACAATTACCCAATATTTTTAAATAAACAGAGCTATGAATCTAGGCCTTCTCAGTCAATTTCCAGTACTTTAACAGGTGTAATACACAGTTTCTAACTTTCAGAAACTATTTGTGCTCATCAACAGTATGGCAGTTTTGACTGGCAGCTACAATTTCTGGATTCCCTAGGAACAGAGCCTGTGAATAATTACTTTTTTAGGGTATATCTTCCCAATTCCCCAGTTCCCGTGGTCATTCTTACTGGAAAATTATGGGAGTTGTACTATAAAATCAGAATATTTTCAAGTTCTGTCTAGGAGGAGCATTTAACCTCATACTTCTGTCTATAGAATCCTCTTCCAAACTAAGTAGGAGGTTTGACAGCTGGAAGCTAGAAAAAAAGCAAGACTACTGTGAATTTATAAGGTTGCTTTTGGAAGACGGAAGCAATACTAATCTATTTCTGCAGCTTAGACAGACATTTAATAAATTGTGAAGTAATTGTAGTTGGATAATGTGTTTGGTTGTTTTTTGGAGCCTTGATGCTTTTACCTCTCAATGCTCTGCCTGAATTACTGGGAGGAGATATTTCGGCAGCAGGCGTCCTCTCACTTGCCATTGTACCTGCAGGGGGTTTCTCCTTCCCAGCACAGCCAGCTGGCCAATCAGTAGCAGGCCCCACCCCACCCTCTGATTGGCTGGGACTGGCAACAGCTCGATCTGCCAGCAGCCTATCTGAGGCTTCCCAAGGCCACTCACAGGCAGCACGTCTTTGGATGTCGGTGGAGGCCCCTCTGGGAACTTTCAACAGATTCTGAGGTGCTCAGCTTGCAACTGCAGCAGGATAAGCGGCTTCTTACTTTCAGACCAACAACCTGAAAACAGTCATACAAAATTCCCATAGCATGTTGAAGTGTAATGACATCTTTCTTTTCCATCAGGGAAAACTATAGGTACAACTATTCTTTAAATCTCTAATCTGAACTGCAAAATTGACACAGCTGGACATAGATTAGCAAGAATGATAATACAAAACAGTTCTCACAGCACTATGCACAATCAATTTCAAAAAGTAAAAATATTCCAAAATAGCTTTAAGATGGGTGATGAGCTGTCTTTGAAATTTGTTGAAATAAAGTTTTTATTCAATTTTGTAGATGAAAATTAAAAATTAACATTTTATTATTTCAGATTCTGGAAAACTTTCCAAAGGCTCTCTGGTCTCCATCATTTTGGGTGTCATTCTCGTCAGTTTTTTGGCATTGTTAAGCTGGCTTGTGATCTGCTGGTGGTAAGTATCCATTTGTGATTATTGTTCTTCTTGTTATTTGCCATAACTATTTTTCTTTAATAATTTTATATAAGATGTTTGTTCTCTTCATGTAAAAAAACCCCGGATAATATCACTTTTTTGTTGAATTGTGGACAGCTCCATCATGGCATCACATTTATTTTTTTCTTCAAGTAACTTTCCAGGCATTGGTAAAAAACATTTAGCAATGATACAACATGAGGACAGGGGGAGAGGCAGAGAGAAGGAAGAAGGAAGCAGAGGAGAGAGCATATGTACCTGAATATCAACAGCCTTTAAAATCAGATTATGAATGGGCAGTGCAGTTTTCTCTACCTGGATTTCATGTCTACCCACGGATTGAAATTAGACTGTGAACTGTTTCCACATCTCAAGTTTTATCTAAAGATTGTCAATATTTGGGCCAGTGGCATCCAGAATGCACGGGGATGAGCAGTTATGATAGGCACATTGTGGGCAGCAGCACCTCAAATTTGGTCGTCACATCAGGCATTTTGCCATCACATCAGTGAACTCAATTTCAATTCTTGAGTTCACTGACAGGCTTGCAGAGCTTTTGAAATAAGAGTAGATTCTTTTATACTACAAAGCTTCCAGGAGCAATATGTCTGCATTAAAAAAACTAAATAGAATTGGAGAAGTATAGGATATCTGGGAATGATCGAAAAGATTTGGGGGTTCTACAAAAAACGGTGGAAGTGAATACAGCTGAAAAATTATATGATTTTTTTCATACTTGTATTTTACATACCCTATACACTCATTTATAATTCTAGAAATTTTAGTCAAAAAATCAATTTGCCACTCCCTTTCCCCAACAAAAGTGAGTCAACTAATCCATGGGTCAGTGTAAGTACTGTACCTTAACTCTTATATATAAAAAAAAGGAACAGTCTCCTTCTCAAGTACCGTAACAAGGGCAAGCATTTAGCCCATTCTGGAAGAACCTAAAAAGCACCAAACCTCTCTACCTTCTTTCCGTGTTGTTGTGTCTGCCCTTTGCTCTTCCATCAGTTAACTATGGGTAACTTTTATTATATGTTACCAATCAATCTCTCTGCGATCTACCAACTAAATTTTAGGGTATAAACTTACGAATATAAACTTCAACTTGCAAATGAACTTGAAATTGAATTTGAACTTACACTTGAATTTGTTAAGTAATAAAATGAGGCAGTGGCCCTCCAAGACCAACTCACTCCCAAACAATGGTGAGATACCATGGTCCCTGAATGCAACTCACATGGTAAATGGGTAAATGGGAGACATCAACATCAATCTCCCTCCTCCTGTAGTGAACACCGATGTGTACCTAACACCCTTATACATATGTGAAACCTATTTAGGACCCACCCTGACCCAATTTGCCATGAATTAAACAGTGTAGGATAAGTTGAACCCCCCCCCCCGAACATGGGGGGGGGAAAATCCTATCCGGCCCCAATAGGCAACCCTTGTGAAGTACACTATAGAGGAGGCAGGTGAGTGGGTCAGCTTCTTCAAAGGAATGACCTGGGCGGGGAGTGCTCTTTTGCTGAACCCACCCACAACAAGTCCCAGTCAGGACTCTTTTGCCTCTCCCTTCACTGGAAGGGAGCAAAGTGGTTCCCTGCCTCATGCTGATGGCAGGAAAGAAACTGCTCTCCTCCCCCCCCCCCCCCCCCCGGAATCACGAGACAACACAACATTGTGGGTTAACTATGGGTAACTTTTATTATATGTTAATAAACTTTACTTTTAACCCACCCTCTCTCCCCTAGGGGACTCAGGGTGGTGTAGTGGAGTTGGACTGAAAAGATTCTAGTTTGAATCTTCACTTTACCATGAAGATTGCAATCCAGTCGGTATCTCTGTTTTAGGACATATTGTTTTGAAAAGGAAATAACATGCACATGCTAATAGTAATAAAAGTCTAAATGTATTCATGGGCAATGAAAAACATTATCCAACAGTCTTTCTCAATCGCTATGCTCAACTATGGAAACAAATGACTGAATTCCACAGTTGTTACATGAGACTTTATTTGTGCTGGTTGCCTTTCAGAATAAAGCAAACCAAATGGAAAACCAAAATCAGGTTAACCCAAAGCTCAAACACCATACACTGTGAAGTAAACCAACCTTCTTTAACAATGGAATTATTTACTTTATTTTTGTATCCTTCCTTTCTCACAATATAGAGGCTTAGGGCAGCTGGAAGAACTGGAAAAGATGTTCATAAAGAGGATACTGATACTAACATCTCCAGTTTTTAAAAATAGAATGGAGTAAAAAAAATCTTTTTGAATCACTTAAAATAAAGCCAGCGTTTCTACACTTAGGAATCAACAATATAGAAGAGTGTGTTGTTGTACAAACAAGACCATAGAGTCGATCGATTGCACATTTTCAGATCAATATAGAATGTGGGTCATGTGAAATGTTTATATAAAGACAATTTAGTCGTATTGATGCTAGTAGGACTAAGACTTCAAAACAAATACTTCAATATGATTGAATTGTGGAACAAGCTATTTAGCTACAACATCAAACTGGATTAGAGTTGCGGGGTTTTGGAGTTTTTTTAAAAGTTGTTCTTATAGAAAAGTCACCCTGTAGTCTATGGAAGTAATTCAGGATTGGCGTCAGAGCATTGTGACTCGCTTGTTTGGGATTCTAGCATTTAGCGATACCTTGCTGTATGCCATACAGAAACCCATAAAGTCTTTCCTTTAGCTCAGCGGGATTTTTTTTTTTTTGTTCACGTCAATATCTCAGTCTGGGGGAAATGTTGTTATCGTTGCTCCCTGTTGTTTTTAATGTTATGTCAACAGGTCTTAGAGGCTGATCATATATTTCTTTCGAAGTTGCTGTAAGGTTAAAAAAAAACATTTTACTTTTGAGCACAGCAAGGGGTGCATTACCTCCAGTCCTGACTTATCACAGCAGGCTGCAAACTTGGCCACCACCATTATGATGTCTTCTATATGAGCCCTGCCAAGGTTAGCAACCCAGTCAACAAGAGGGGACAGATAACCTAGTCTTTGGCACAAATATCAGATTTTTTTTCTAGTATCCTAGAAATTCCACTAGCCCAATAAAATATAAAACTAGTGATATCACTCCACTCTTCCATTTTTTTAAAAAAAAATCCACTCATTACCATTTTACAAGGTGATAAATGGAGGTGATGACTGGAAATGATTTTTAAAATTCTTTTTAAATTAGCATTATACTCATAGAAGTATGCTAGTATACTAATTTTAATGCTTTTTGTTAAAAAATTTTTTTAAAAAAATGAACTATTTTTTCTGCATATCATATCACAGCATATTTCAACATAGCTTTGATTTTGCATTAGATATTTAAATTTGAAAAATAAATAACGTGAAGTGCATTCACACATTTTGTCATGTTTGACTTCAGCAGATAAAAGATTCAGTGTGTATGTCTGTATTGTCAACACTTCACATTTGCAGGTTGTAACTTCTGAGGATGTGATTGTTCGTGACTTTAATTAATATGTGGATGCTGGATTTGTTTTTGATTTGGGTGCCTTTGTTTTTTTTGTTTTTGTTTTTTGTTAGCACCTCACGGCATTGAATGTTTGCCACTGCCTGTTGTAAACTGTCCTGAGACCTCATGGGGAGATAGGGTGGGATAAATAAAGATTGTTGTTGTTGTTGTTCTCTCTTCCATGTCTTCCACCTTGACTCTATAGTCAACTTCCAACAGTAGTTGATCAAAGAGTTGCACTGGGTGACCTAGTGATACCTAGAGAGATCACTTCTGGAGGCCTTTTTCTAGGTTCTCCAACATGATTCCATAGGTCAGTGTCCATTAGTAATACAGGAACATTCAACATCGTTAAAAATGAAATAAATAAATACATCAAATAAACACAAGAACGTTCGATCGAATCTACTTGCTTCTCACCAGAATCTCTGTTACTATCATAACTGGAAAGGAAGGAGTAAGCTACCTATATAAATACTTACACCACCTGGAATGTCTTTATAACTTGCAGGAAATGTGCCTTGTTGCTGCTGTTAACTACAGTAGAATAGAATTGACGTTGACTTACGGCAATCTTACAAATGAGTGAAATCCAAGTTATTCTGTTATCCAATGTCCTTCTTTGGTCTTGCAGACTGAGAGTAGTACTGATAGTAGTAGTAGTAGTAGTAGTTATTATTATTATTATTATTATTATTATTATTATTATTCAATCCCACACTTTAGTGAAAATTTTAAAAGTATAACAGATAAAACAATTAAATAGTACAGTGTGGTAAAAGCAGATTAAAATATAATAAATACATTTAAAATAGCCTTTAAAACTCACAGTCTCCATCCCCACCAAATCCCACCCACGCTTCCTCAGCATTCCCCTTATCCTTTCCCAAATGTCTACTGGCCATTCTGGTCTCTCTTGGGAGGGAGTTCCACAGTCTGGGAGAAACTACTAAAGGGCCCTCTTCCATGTTTCCACTAAACACGCTTGAGTGGGTGGTGGGTCAGACAGAAGGCCCTCCCCAGTAGATAGCAGATGTCTACTAGTTTCATAGAAAGGGATATAGTCTTTTAGATAACTTTGATTAGAGCCATATAGGGCTTTGTAGGCCAAAACCAGAACTTCAAATTGTGTCCAGAAATGTGTTGGCAGCCAGTGGAGTGTTGGCTACTGTATGCTTCCAGTAGCCAACACATTGTGGCTTCCTTGATTGAATCCATTGAATCTTGAACACATAACTCCACTTGGAGTTATGTGTTCATGACTCTTCCATATTCATGATCTCTATGTAACACATAGCTTAGGAGTGACATAGGGCATTATAAAAGCCCCCCGATCTTAATTTATTGGGATTGGGAAGTAGATGCCTAACAGCGTCTCTGACATGACAGAGAATAATAACAAGAAGCCTGTTTCTGCCAACTGTTCCTGAGATAGCACATGGAGTGGGTGAAAAGAGTAGCCAGTTGCTTTCTGAGCAACAAGGGAGCA